GGCCTGCCTCAGGGGTGAAAGGTCATGTGGCTCAGGGGGGTAAGTGACTAGCTGGGGTGACCCAGCAGAGCCAGGTCTGAACCTGAGACTCTGACTACAAAGCCAGTGCATGTGACCTCCCCGTGAGGAGGTCAACGCAGAGAGGAGAGTCAGACAGAGGAGGGAAGCGCAGAGACAGAGGTGGCCATGGAGAGGGTGTGGGAGCCCAAGCCCAGCTGGAGGGGATGGGGCAGGGGCTCCCACGGAGGGGCCAGGGCCCAGGCCCGTGGAGCTACTTACGGGTAGTAGGAGTACGCATAGTGGTCTCTCCTGGCAGCGTGCAAAGAGAAAAGCACAATTGGGTCCAGGGTCCGCCCACAAGGCTGGGCCCAGGGCAGCGCCCAGCCAGCAGGGAGGAGCTGGGTGCTCTCCAGACTGAGGAGGGGGCTGGCCAGGCTCAACCATTTAGGACCAGGACCTCAGTCCCTTCCAAAACCTTCCTGGGTCTGCTACTTGAGTGTGAAGGGGCTGGGGGAAGCGCCTGGGGGAAGCAGAGCTCTCAGTCATTCACACAGGCACGCACAGAGAGAAATGTGCATCCGTGCACACACACGGAGGCCTACACACTCAGATGGATACACACATAAAAACACACAGACACTACATGCACTCACAAACACAGACATGGACTCACATGCACAGACACACATATTTAAACACACACACACTGAGACAGATACACAGGCACATATTCACCAATACACACACATATGTGCACACTCACACACATGACATCCCCCACCCACACACTCAAGGTAACTATACTCACCTCTGCAGACAGCCCCCCACCCTCAGTCCCAATCCCCCTCACACCTGCAGGCCTCTCTATCCCTGAGAGGTGGCAGTCCTTGGCATACACCTGTGTCTCGGAGGGAAAAAGTGGCTGGGGCAGGGTAGAGAGGGATCAGGGGCAAACCTTGGGGGCCCCTCACCCACCCGGACTGCCACTGGGTGTGGGGTCCATTAAAGGAGCAAGGTCACCCTTCATGGGCACCCAAAGCACAGCTTGGGTCAAGAGCCCTGCCATGACCACAGAGCACAGAGAGGAGGCAGACGAGGAGGCTCAGTCTCAGACAGCCATGGTCTTCCCAAGACTCTCTAGTGGAGTCCACAGCAGGGTCAGGAACCTGGCCCCAGAACTAGCTCTCTCCTGAGGCCACATCCAGGGGCCTCCATTCACCTGCCCCCACATCACCCCATCAGCAGAAACCCTAACGAATGGCCTTTCACAAGGAAATCCTGCAGATTAGGGGAAGGGAAGGAGAGAGGAGGGCGGAAGACTGAGGGCCAGCGAGGGCAGGAGCTTGGCTCCAGGTCACCCGGCATGCTTCATCCATCCTAGCAACAGAGGGGAGGGTCCAGGGCCTGTGGCTGGAGACAGAGGCCCTGAAGGAGGGGGTGGTAGAATAGCATTCTTCTAGTCTCCCTAAAAGGTCATTACTTTGAAAGGACCTTCCCTGACCACTCCCCCACAATCCCTCTCTCTGCTCCCAACCCAGGCACCCTGCTCATTTCACAATTTGTAATTATCCATTTGTGCTTCTTCTAATTTAATGCAAGGCTCCCCACTAACTACAAAGCACAAGAGGATCCTGCCCACAGCTGGATCACCGGGGCCCAGGACAGTGTCCAGCACATTATAACCCCTGGATAAATAATTCATTGAATGAGAAATCCATAAATAAGGGAAACTAAAACATCTGCACCTCTATGAGCTTTCATTCCTCCTCTAAACAAGTCATGGTAATAACACCCACACCCCCACCCTTCCACCCCCAGGGCTGTTGTGAGGTTTAAGCAGCAGGAAACATGGGTTTGGCTCTTCTCTGGGGGATGCACAGCCAAGAACTTTCCAGAACTTTCTCTGTCCTCACAGAGCTCAATCGGCAGGGAAGATGAACATCGAGTAAAGCAATGCAAGTAAATAAATGAAAAGTGCAAGGAAAAGAAAGTGCTGCAAAGGGAAGGGGAAGGGGCTCTAGAGGCAGAGCAAGGGATCTGACCCAGCCTGAGCTCTGGGTTCTGGAGTCTGGGGTCTGGGGTCTGGGGTAGGCCAGGCCTCCCGGCCGCCCCAGCTCTGGAGTCCCGGGGCAGATTCCGCCAGTCTCACTGTCCATGCAGGCAGGACCGGATGGAGCATCTGACACCTCTTCCCAGCTGGCCCTGACTGTCTCCCATGATCCCCCACCCGCAGCGACCTTCTTCCAACAAGAGTGCACAGGGCGGTGACTGAGTATCTGCCCTCCCACAGCAAAGTCCTAATCTGTCCATTACATTTGTACCCCAAGTTGATCTGAATACCCCCATCCCTGCCAAAATTGCTCTGACACTTGACACCCCACAGTACAGACTAGAGGACCCCTGAGGAGCACAATGCACCCCGAAGGCCAGGTTGAATGGTTGGGGGGGAGGCGGGGGTCGTAACATGCTATTGAATGGGACTGAATGGCTTTTAGAGGAAAGGGGATGCTGGCAGCCTCTGGGGTTGCCTGAAGGGTTTATGGGGTAGCAGCTGCATAAACTGAGGGCTTCCTAGTGAGGCCTGGCAGCCTCTCTGGCTCATTGTCTCCTGGACCCAATGCTTTCTCCACAGGGATGGGTGACATCCCCCACTTTGCCCATCCTCTCTCCTTGAGGGTAGATGTTTTAGGGCCTCAAGTATCACAGGCAACCCCCTAATATCTGACCCCTCCTTTACACCCCTCTCCATCTGTCCCAGATCCCAGCCCCCCCGCCCCCAGAGTGAACTCCCAAGTTCCCTGCTGGGGAGAAACATAGGGACTTGCCACTTACTGCACCGACTGCGCCCAGTGTGGTGAGACCCTTCATGTCCCTGCCCATGAGGGGCGCTCAGGCTTTGTAGTCAGGCCTGTGCTCAGATCATACCCTGCCACTTATCAGTCAAATGACATGGGCAAGTCACTCAATTACAATTTCCTCATCATGAAAAGGGAGTAAGACCCTCTTCGTAAGTCAGGATCCAAGAAGGAAATGTTCTCTCATGTATCCCGAGCCAGATAGTGCCTGGCACACAGTAGGTACTCAATAACTAATGTGATATTTGAGATGCTCCTGGCACAGAGTAACTACTAAACAAATGGTGCTTTAAAAATATTTTGTATCTCGAAGCTATGTGGAAAGCAGGCCAGGAAAAAGTCAAGCCTAATGCCCTGGACAGGCCACCCCAACGCCAACGCCACCACCCCACTGCTGGCATGTCCTACCCCAGGCTCTCTGGAAGAATCTCTCCAGGCTGGTGCCTGGCCTCCGGCAAGGGGGCCCTGGCCAATTCTCCCTCATCTCTCTGGATCCCGCTTATCTGCTCCTGGCAGCCCAGAGACCCAGCGCCAACTCATCCATGTGCGCCCAGCCTGGCAGCAGCTGGGGCTGCAGGAGCCAGAACCCAGGTGGAGAGCCGGTGGAGTGGGCTCTGAGTCTGGTTCCCTGGATGACCTTGGGCAGGTTCATGACTCCTCTGGGCCTGAGCATCTCCATTCCTCAATTAAGATGCATGCACAACAGTGTCCTGGGGCTGCCGGTGGGGGGTGAGGTAGGAGGGGAGCAGTCTCAGAAGCCCCCATTGGGCTCCAAAGAGAGACTCAGCTTCAGCGGCTCCACGTACTGGGCTCCCAGGGGAGGTTTATTTGATGTTCTGAAGACACGTTCTGTTGTTTTAAAAAGATTTAAAACCCACTAGAATGGATGTCCTTGGACTGCCTCGCATCTCACTTTCTGGGCTCTGAGCTTCTACAATTCTAAAATCTGAGATTCTTAGAATCCCAAATCCTGGGTTATGAAACTCCAGAACTCTTCTAAGATGTGCTGGGATTCATGCTGCCCACTGCCAAATGCACTAGACACACAGCCCTCACAAATACGAGGCTGGACCTCTGAGGCCTAGGGAATGATAGGGGCCATGGGAGGCCTTCTCTGAGTCATGGGCCCAAGAGGACTCCTAGGGGATCAATATAACAGGGTCCAGGGCAAGCTGAGCCCAAGGAGAGGGAGGCTCAGGGTCCTTGTTTTGAAGGGGAATTAAGCACACACACACACACACACACACACACACACACACACACACACACACACTTGAAATAATAGTAAGCACCCCCACCCACCCACACACACCCCTCCCACCCCACTACCCCACCCACTCACCCCCCACTGCTCAAGGTCAACACCACAACCCCATAGTCAGAGCAGACAAGTTGGCAGGAGGTCTGCAGGGGGCCGGGGATTCTAAATTATGTCATCTCCACACTTTCTGCACTTGAACAGGCCAGCGGGCACAGGCGGGCACAGCACAGCTCCTTGGCAGCAGGCACTGCTTTCCTGGATAGTGGCACCTGGCACCAGCCAGACCCAGGCTCCGGCCAAGCTGCTTAGGGGCAGCTCCATTTGCAGAGTCTCTGGCTTCCCACCACGCGGCTTGGGTCCATCCACAGGCCTGATGCCTAGGCTGGCAGCCCTCCACACACCCGCCAGGCGGCTGCCCTGCCAGCTCCAGCCCTACCAGGCTCTAGCCATGCCTCCTCTATACCCACCAGGGAAGGAGCCACAGATGAGCCAGGGCACAGCCTCACTCACCCCTTGCGGATGATGATAATGATGGCCCCCAAGAGGAGGATGAGGACGGCAAGTCCCCCTGCACAGATGCCCAAGATGAGCCCCATCTCCTCTGATCTCTGGGACACCTCCAGGGGTCGCTTGCTTTCCTTGCAGGCAGCTGGGGAGAGTAAAGCAGGATAAAGGATCAGAGGGGAAGACAGGAACCACCCACCCCTCGGTCTGAGCCACAAGGAAGGCACCAGGCTGCACAAACACACATGCACAGAGATAACTGTCCCTCCTCAATGTGTCTCCTCGCCACCCCTCACACCTTCTGCATCCCCGTGTCAGAGGATTTACCTGCACTGTTCCCCTATCAGGAACAGCTCCCATCTCCTCTCTGCCTTCTCCAGTCCCCCCATCCTACAGGGAATGGGGGTTGGAGGATGCCTGGGACCTTCAGACCCACCTTCTCGCCCTCCTGGGAGGTGACAGGAGGAGATAATTATGTACCTAGGGTGTGATTAGGGCATCTCAGGATGGGGAACCAGCCACACTTCCTGTTTTGGAGCAGGGACAGTCCCTACACAGGAGGGTCCGCCCTGTCCCCACCACAGGAAAGGGGGCAAATAAGAACCCAGAGCTAGTGCCCAGCATCCATCACTCCCATGGCCCAACCATAATGGCTGCCCGTCACAGGCCTGTTCCAAGCCCTTACTAAGGCCCCTTCTGTGATCATGAGTAGAGAGGGAAGGGAGGGTGTTATCCCTGCTGCCCTTGGGCCAAGAAGGAAAATGTTTCCTGACCCCAGAGGGCCTGACCACCCTCCGCTGCTCCCACAGCCCTGGTGCTCGGGGTCCGGCTCCCAAAGCCCAGCAAGTGAGAAGCCCGCCTACCCGGCAGGACTTACCTTTCCTGGCGATGCGGATGCAATTCAGCCGGGTCTCCTGGAGGCACAGATGGGGGTCTCAGCACTTCGGAAGCCCGGGCCTGACCCTCCCCAGGAGGAAACCTCGGACACATGTCCTGGGCCTGCTCAGGGCTTGTCTGGTGTGAACTGTAACTAAAGACACCCCATCGGGCAGGAGGGCCTGGGGGAACTAGGAGGGAAGAGGCCTGCAAAGAGGGCAATGCCTTAAGAAAGGCATTGGGAACAGGGGAAGAGAGAGGGCGGAGCCTCCAAAATTAGGACAGGGCCTAGGTCAGTGATTGCGAACCTATGACACACAAACTCATTTTTTTGGTTGATTTTTCTTTGTTAAATGGCATTCAAATATCTAAAATAAATATCAAAAATATAAATCTTTGTTTTACTATGATTGCAAATATCAAAATATTTCTATATGTGACACGGCACCAGAGTCAAGTTAAGGTTTTTCAAAATGCTGACACGCCAAGCTCAAAAGGTTCGCCATCACTGGCCTAGGTCCAGGGATCTGGTTAGAAGGGCAGGCCTGGGAAGGAGAGATGGGGAGGGAGGGGCCTGGAGAAGAGCAGGGCTTCAAAGAGGAGGCGGGTTCTAGGCCGCAAGGTCTGGTGAAAGCGGGAACCTGAAAAGGACCGCTCTGGGGAGAGAGGAGCCCCAGATGGAGGACCAGGGCCTCAGGGAGGGGACAGGGACTAGACTGGAGGCTTGGATAAAAAGGAGTGTGGTGGGAAGAAAAAAAAGGCTCGGGAAGAGGGAAGTGCTGGATTTGCAGAGCCTGGGGTCCGAAGGGTGGGCGGGGATTATGAGGAGGGCGGGGCTCCAGAAGGAGGGGTTTGGGGAGGTCCGGGGCTCCGAGGAAGGGCGGGGCTCAGGCGAGGGGCGGAGCTGGGGGTTGCAGAGCCTGGCGTAGGAAGGGTGGGCGGGGCTCCAGAAGGAGGGGTTTGGGGAGGTCCGGGGCTCCGAGGAAGGGCGGGGCTCAGGCGAGGGGCGGAGGGCAGGGAGCGAGAAGGGGCTATAGGAGGGCAGGGGCCGATAGAGGGGGCGGGAATCAGGGGAAGGGCGGGGCCTGGAGGTGTCTCTGGCCTCCGTGGCCACCTGCCCCTAGGCATCCCCCATCTGCCCCCCAACAACCCCGGCCTGTCTCTCACCCCCTTCAGGTGGCTTGTTGCCTGGAAGTAGATGAGGTAAGCTTTCCTGGGCTCAAGCGGTGGGTTCCAGAAGCCGCGATAGGTCTGGTTGTCGCCCACGGTGAAGGGCATGGCCTGGGGCAGACTGCTGGCCGCCAGTTCAATGGCTCCCGCCGCAGCCTCCGCGGCCGCTCCTCCTGCACGATCACCTGGTACACACTGGAGGGAGGGGGAGAGCGGGCCAGGTCAGGGGGAGCTGCCTGGGGCTAATGGCATGGGCTTTGGGGTCAGGCCCCGCTTGGGGCTAATCTGCGCTCTGCCTCTTGCTAGCTGGGCAAGTCATTTAACCCCGCCCCGGCCTCAGTTTCATCCTCTGTAGAAGGGGAGTTATCACAGGCCTGTTCCAGGAGGAGGGTGTGAGGAAGGAGGCACGTTTAGCAAACAGCCAATGCCTACCAGCTGTTATTACTGTGATTGAGGCTGAATGTGGGCCCTGCCCAGGTGAGCCAAGCCCTCAAGCCCCACCCAGACACCTCAAAGAGTCCTCCAGAGCCGGAACCATAGCCTCAGGCTCCACAGTCATCACCATGGGCTCCCCTCTGAGCCTCTTAAACTAGAGTTAGACTAGATGCCTCATTCATTCATTCATTCATTCAGGAGATGTTTACTGAGCTCAGACAATGGGCCCTGTGCTAGGCACCTGAGGATCTAGTCTTCCTGGAAGTGACTTCCTGTTGGGGAGACTGTCACTGAGCAAACAAACAAGGCCACACCCCAAATACCCCTCCCCGCCCAACCAGAGTCTGCCGGAGTTTATAGCTCTGAGCCGGACGTCTCACGGCCCTAATGGCTGATAACGTTCCCTGGTCTGTATTCCCTCTGATCTGTGTCTCCTGGTCCCGACTTGTGTATTTCTTTTTATTTTTATCGCTTTACTGAATGGCCTTTTGCTGTGAGCTCCTCCAAATCCTCCGTGGAACAAAGCCAAGAGTAACTAAATGAATACTGACAAATTTAAATATTTCCAGTCACAGCCTTGATCACGTCTTGGCGTGTGACTCCCCGCACTGACAGCCTGCGCTCTGGGGAGTAGAAATGCCTTTGCCTTGCTCTCCAGCTGTTTCTTTTGAGCCTCCAAGTTGTGGGGGAATCACCCCAACATCCTGGGATTTGGGCCACACAGGGTCATTCCCTGTCACTAGTGCGTTGCAAATACCAGCCCAGGCCCCTCTCTGCCTCCAATTGCCAGGCTGAATTCAGGCCTCGCCTGGCCCTGAATCCCACCAGGAGATGATGATAATCAGCATTAGCCATTATGCAGATAAGGAAAGGGAGCTCAGAGAGGTGAAGGGACCTACCCAAGGTTGCACAGCTGTTGTACCTCTCCCTTCTCTATCCCTCTCCCCCAATCTGCCCAACCTCTTCATCATCATCCCAGAGGGATGCTGAGCAGGCAGGCTAACAGGAACCCTCCACAGACAAGGAAAGGAGAAGGCTTCCCAATTCCTCCAAGACTCAGGTGCATCAGGGCCCTGAGACTCCTGTAAAAGGCAAAACGCCCCTCAGATGCCCTGACACTTTTCTGGGTCTCCCCTGAAGGTCTGGGAATCCTCCTCTGACAGGCTTCGCAGTGGCAAATATGGGGGAGGCAAAGCAGGAGAAAAGAGTGGAGGGTGGAGTGAAAAAGTTTGTGTCACGAGTACCTGAGCAACTCACTACCTTCTTGACAGGGCTTGCCATGCCCGTCCCCTGCCCGAATACAAGCTGTCACCCTCTCCCAGTGTATGGACCTTTGTGGAATGAGGGGATGGACCAGAGGGGCGGGGAGGCTCCGTGACTTCAAGGAAAGGTGCTGGCTTTGCAGGCAGACCTGGGAGAGAACCCCAGCTCTATCTCTTACCAGCTGTGCGGCCTTGGTGGGCAAGTTCTTTAGGCTCTGAGCCTGTCTCCTGGTGCATAAAATAAGAGAATTAGTGCTCCCCCACAGGAAGCCATGAGGATATATGTCCGTGCAGGTAAAGCCCCTAGCATGGTGTCTGACTGGCAGTGAGTATGTGCACATAACCCCACAAACACCCTCCTGCTCTCACCTACACACACTCCCGCATCCACAGCATGCATCGCCTGCACACATCACATGTCTCTCTCACACACCTACTTGTTGCCAGCACCTTCTCCCCAGCAAAGGCAGCCACCATGGGACCAGCAGCCCAGCTTCTTCTGGGGAGAAGGAAATGGAGAAGCCAAGTTCTCGGCCACTCCAGAGAGATGGCGCTATCCAGCTGGCTGCCCAGCCTTCTAGAAAGCCTATCCCTGTGTCGCCCTGGGAAGAACCCTCCAGGAAATAAGCTGAGAAGAAAAAATGCCCCAGAGTTCACTTCTCCAAGGTGTCTGAGAGAAGGCCTCTGGAGAAGCCTGGACAGTCACCTCTCCAGGCTGGACACTGTCCAGAGAGCTCACGACAATCACCGCCAGACACCCATGGCCTCAGAGGGGCGTGGCTACAGGCATTCTGCCTGCCCACGGACGCGCTGAACTCGGAGTGGGAAACTGAGGGAGGACAAGGGTGAGCTGGCCTGCGTGGGGGCTCTGGGTCAGAGCAGGGGCCTCTTCCCGATGATCACAGAGCATCCTCTTCCGGACGCGCTGAACTCGGAGTGGGAAACTGAGGGAGGACAAGGGTGAGCTGGCCTGCGTGGGGGCTCTGGGTCAGAGCAGGGGCCTCTTCCCTATGGCCCTGACCTCCCGCCCCTCCATCCGGGCTCTCCCACCTGATGGGCGCACCGCGGCCCTGGGCAGGCCTCAGCAGCACGGTGATGGTGTTCTCAGACTCCCCCAGGGGCGACGGCATGTCAGCATAATCAAAGCTGGGAGCTGGGGAAGGGGACAGGAGCGTAAGCACCACCTTCCTGGACCCCTGTCCCTAGATCTCTTCCCCTTCAGCCTTAGGCTCCTTGTTCTCTCTCACTTGAACTTCCCTGACCCCTGACCTCAGCCCTCTCATTCCACTAACCACAGTCTCCTGAGCCCTCTGACTTAATTCTCCCTGACCTCAAACCCTAAATGGTTCATTTCTCTCAGCAGGAGCCCACTATAACCACCCCCAGGAGGTCCCCCACACCCCGCCAGTGCCCACGGAACCCCAGAATTCTGAGTCTCCTCCAAAGGGGCCAGGCCAGGGTCCAGAGCTTACCTGAGATGTTGGTGGTGATCTCGGTCAGTGCCGCCTGACCGAAGCCTTTGCCTGTGCGGGCTCGCACGGAGAAGAGGTAGGTGGTGCCTGGGTGCAGGTTGGAGAAGACGTGGTAGGTTTCATTGCGGAGCTTGGAGATGGTACGTCGTGGGCCTGGCACATTCACCACCGGGTCTGATGACTCGATGCTCTGGTAACTGATCTGGGGCAGGATGGGCAGGTAGGCAGACACAGGAATAGGGAGGGCTTCATTGGCCCCATAGCCTCACACCCATCATGGTTCAGGTGAGCTAGGGATAAGGCTGGGCCAAGGAGGAGGTCAGTGGAACTGTGCCTCCCCTTAGCCCAGGCCGCTTGGCACCTTCACCTCTCTCTCCTGCCTTCCGGTCCGTGTCCCTGTAACCCACAGACTCTGATCATAGCTGAAGGAACCTCAATGATCACTTCTGTCCCCCCACCCTGCACCTCCCTCTCCAAACTGCGTGCCCGCCTTCCACCAGGGGCCCTCACGATCATGGGGTCCAAACCCACCTCATACTGAGTGATTCGGCCATTGGGTTCCTGCGGCTCCTCCCACTTGAGGAAGATCATATCCTCCAGTGGAGTGAAGGTCAGGGACTCGGCCGCAATCCCACCAGGCACTGCAAGGGAAAGGCGGCATGGGCAGGGGGAAGCTGGCTGCGCAGCCAGGTACCTGAATTCAAATTCCAGCCTTGCCGTTTCCTAACTGGTACGCTCACACTACTCGACCTCCCTGAGCCCTCAGTTTCCTCATCAGTGAAATGGAGTGATGATAACTCCTCTCTCACCAAAATTCAGTGATGCGATATACGTACAGCAATTTCCTACGGTCCAACCTATCCCTGAAGACTCAGAAAGCGTAGTTGGCGTTTTCATTACTGTGCAGGTTGCATTCAGCTGAGAAGAATGTTTGAATGGTCCTATTTGGACCCAGTTAAGTGGTTTTCAGAAAATATAAACATTTGCCAGGGAAATGAAAACAATTGCATTAGTGGCGGAATTATGGATAGAGATATATTTCTGTCTAAAAATTTCTAATTACACAAACAATATGTTCAATGTTGAAAATCAAAATGAGCATGAAGAAAATTAATGGCACCTACAATTCCATTACCCAAAGAATAATACTGTTAACATTTCAGCATAAACCCTTTGGGGCATGGTTTGGTTTGGTTTTGTCTGCTCTTGTTCACATGTATCATCTTAACAGCAGTCACAGGAATTTCTTCTAGGAAGAGGATGGTCTGTGTTTGGAAAAACACCTTAATAAACCACTGTGGGGAAGCTGAGCTCCTAGGGCAGGGGAAAGCGGAAACCAAGGCAACAATCAATGAAAGCCAAAGTGCTCTGTGTGAAAATGCGCAGTTGCCAAGGCAACACCACCCCCCACCTGCCAAAATGATACAAGGCAAAAGACAATTCCAAGTGTTGGTGCGGATGCAGAGCAACGGGAATTTTCACACAACTGCTAGTGGGAGTATACACTGATGCAACCACTTGGGGAAACTGGATCTAGCCACCTATGATGGACACACCCATCAGAAATGTGTAAATCTACTCCCAAAAAAAATCTACAAGGATTTTTCTTTACAGCACAATTTAAAATCGCTGAGCACTGGACACAACTGAAATGCCCAACAAGAGTAAACAGGATAAATAAATGTGGTATCTTCACACAATGGTCTATTTAGCAAGGAGAATAAATTCTATGGAACTGCACACGCAACATGGCTGAATCTCTCAAGCCAAAGGCTGAGAGAAAGAAGCCAGTCATTTTACAGTGTATAAAAAGAATACACAGTGTGTGCTTCCACTGATAGGAAATTCAGAACCAAGCAGAGTTTACTCTATGGCATTACAGGTCAAGATGATGGTTGCTCTTGGAGGTTGTGAGAGGGAGAGGCTCCCGGGAGCCCGTTATGCTATTTCTTGGTCTGGGTGTGGGTTATCCTGATGTGTGCCGTCTGTGAGAATTCACTGAGCTGACCACTTGATAGAAGCGTACTTACTATAAGTATTATAGCAATACTTACATGAAAAGCATAAAATGTTAAATAACGAGCAGTTACTGGAGGGAGGGGAAGGAGAGGGGCAGAGAAAGAAGGAAGAAGGCCGAGCAGTCCAAGTGAGGCCTGGTCAGAATGGGGTGAAGCCACAACAATATACCTTGGGGGGAGAAGGGCAGAGGTCAAAAGATTTTAAGAACAGAGTAATCTGATGTTGAACTTGAGGTTGTTTGTGCAAGGTAGCAGAGTATGTCACCCCAAAATATGCCACTTTGGCATAAGGATTATTTGGAGCTGAATTGAGAGGGGAAATGAGGAGAAACAGATACAGCAGGTCCTTGAATAAAGTCCTTTCATTCAATATTGTTCGTTATAATGCTGATCAGAAAAAAAAAAAATCATCGATTTCTGGCCGGGGCCACTGTCTTTGTGGAGTCTGTTCTCCCCATGTCCGTGTGTGTTTTCTCTGGGTATCCAGTGTCTCCCCATGTCCCCAAGCTGTGTGTGTGAGGTGAGTGCTGTGTCTCAATAGTCCCAGTGAGTGCATGTGATGTGCCCTGTGATGGAAGGGCATCCTGTCCAGGGTGGGGTCTTGCCTTGGGCCATGAGTTCCAGCTCCCTTGAGCCTGAACTGGGATAAGTGGGTTGAAAAACAATTATCTTACTTGTTTTTAATCATCATTTTTAAAGGTATGTATAGCTTACATTTATTTGAATGTTTAATATTAGAAGTGTTTGGGGTCATTAACCAGAACTTAAACTTTGTTTATCGCAATTAAGCCTCTGGTAAAATTGGTTGTGTTACAGGTTGTTTCACTTGAAGTCACAGTTTCCAAGAACTTATCAATGATGGTAAGTAAGGACTATACAAGAAAAGCTCCCTGCCCTCCCCTATTTGCCTAAAAGAAGGACATAAATTGGTAAAGGTGCCCCCCTCCCCTCTCTACCCAGAAGGAACGAAGTTAATCATTGAGACAACTCTAGACTAGAAGAATCTACACAAACTTTACTAACTAGCCCTTATCTAGTTTCCCCATATTTTTGCCTTCGCGTAATTTGCTGGTCCTAAAAAGGTCCTTTTCCTTTGTCTTGTCACTTCTCTAAAAATTCATTGTTCTTTTGTTAAGATGCCATATAAGCCCAAGTTCTAGCCACCCCTTTGAATTACTCATCACTGAGCGCTCACTCCCACATGCATGTGCAAGGCACGTGGTAATAAACTCGTTTTCCCCTGTTAGTCTGTCTTTTCTCAGTCCAATTTATAGGGCCCCAGCCAATGAAACTACGGTGGGAAGAAAAAAGAAGTTCACTTTTTCCTTCTCTACATTTGCTGGAAACACTGGCTGAGTCGATTCACCTCTCTGAGCCTTAGTGTCCTCAGCTTCAAAATGAAATAATAATAGACCCTCCTCCTAGGATGTTGTGAAATGTAAGATAATGTGTGCATAGTACATGAGACAACAGCTAATAGGAAACAGGCCCTACTAAATATTAGGTATGAGTTTGTTTTAATAACACAGTTCACCTCCTAAGAGAGAAGACACGGATTACCAATACCAGGAATGAAAAGGGGGATATCACATAGACCCTATGGACATTAAATAAATATAATAAGAGAATATTATAATCAACTTATAACAAGAAATTTGACAATTTAGGTAAAATGTAAAATGAACAAATACCTTAAAACACAATACACCAAAACTAATATTAAAAAAAATCTGAATATCCCAAAATCTATTTTTAAAATTAAAACTGTTGCCCTGGCCAGTTTGGCTCAGTGGATAGAGCGTCTGCCCATGGACTGAAGGGTCCCAGGCTCGATTCTGGTCAAGAGCACGTACCTCAGTTGCAGGCTCAATCCCCTGCCCTGGTTGGAGCCAGTGCAGGAAGTAACCAATCAATGTGTCTCTCTCACACCCATGTTTCTGTCTGTCTCTTCCCCTCCCTTCCACTCTCTCTAAAAAAAAATCAATAAAAAAATATCCTCAGGTGAGGATTAACAAAAAACAAAAAACTGTTATGTAAAAACACTGCCACAAAGAAAACTCCAATGGCTTCACTGATGAATTCTTCCAAATACTTAAGGAAGAAATTATACCAATTAACCCAAAGGCTTCCAGAGAATAAATATTAGCTCTCATGACTTTGTTGTTATAGAGTTGGCTAAATCCTAAGCAAAAAAAAATTTCCTGTATGCATTTCAGTCTCAGACAGGGGGTGTCTGTGGGAGGCACTTAGGGCCCGGGAATCAGGGCTGGGGATCTTACCGTCCTCGTCCGTCTGGAAGGTGACCTCCTTGCCTTCTTTGCGCCCCTCGGGGTTAGTGAGCACGAGGCGCACGTGAACATTCCGGTAGGGCAGCAGGTTCTTGATGGTGTAGCGGCTGACACCCCGCTCCATCTTCACACACTCCCGCACCGTCTGGTTGTGGCTGCTGCCCAGGATGTAGTGATAGCACAGGGACACGGTGTAGGTGTGGCACCGCGTCACATTGTAGCCCAGTGGTTCCCACTGCAGGGTCAGCTGGCGGGCCTGGATCTCGGCGAAAGCCAGGCCTTTGGGGGCCCTCATGGGCTCTGGAACACCCGGAAAACAGAGAAGGCAGAGGAAAGGGGGAGAGAAGAGGAAGATAAATCAGAGAGAAAACATCTTGTCAGCTGACTGTAATCATCCCTCCTTTGTCCCCAAGAGCTCAAGGGACCCCCTAGAAGGAAGAGTGTGTGTTCTGGAGTCAGGCGGGGCCACATCCGAATCCTGGTTCTGCCTCTTGCAGCTGCAACCACTGGCTGAGACACTCCACCTCGCTGAGCCCTAGTTTCCTCAGCTTCAAAATGAGATAATAATAAGCCCTACCTCACAGAATGGTTATGAAGTTTAAGATAATGCATGCCAAGTTCATGCAACAAAAGCCGATACACAACAGGCCCTACAAACTATTAGCTGTACTTTTGTTTTAATAACAGTTCACCTCCTAATTCCTGGACCACATCAGGCCAGTCTGAATCAACCTATTGCTGTATTTTTCTTAGGTGATTCATTCCAAAGTTGTTCTGAAATATATGACACAATAATATTTAGAAATCAGGATGATAAAGGAAAGGAGAGAGCCAAACAGTTAAATAATGCCAGAGAATGTTAGGGAAACAGAAATGCATGCCATTAAGTCCTAGGGGGGAAGGGGGGGGATCCTAAATATAAGATTCAAATTGGGTGGTGAGTTCCCTGGCTGCCAAAGCAAAAAGGGAAACATAATGTTATGTAAGGATAATAATAATAGCAGTTAACATTTACTGGGGGCTTTGTATATGCCAGGCATTGTTTGAGAGCCTTTAAAATGCTTTATTTCATTTAATCCTTACTTTAATCCAATGGACAGGTGCTATTATTAGCCCTATCCTAAAGACGTGGAAATGGAGACACAGAGAGATTAAGGTACTTTCCCACAGTTACAGAGACAGTAAGGGGTAAAGCTGAGATCTACACCAGGACAGGCTGGCTCCAGAATCCATTATCTTAAACCACTACCCAGCCTCCCTTTTAGGACTTCACTGTCCAAAAAAAAAAAAAATTACCTCAGGAGAGACAGCTACCCAAACAAGAGAAAGGAACATGTTACAGCTTCTTGATGATTCTGTGGGGCCTGAAAGTTGTCCCCATTTTATAAATTAAAGTACTGAGGTTCTTGCCCTGGCTGGCGTGGCTCAGTTGGGTGAGGGTTGTCCCATGCAGCGAAGGGTTGCTGGTTCACTTCCCAGTCAGGCACATGCCAGGTTGTGGGCTCAATCCCTGATGGGGGTTGTGCAGGAGGCAGCCAGTCGATGATCTGCTCACACATCAATGTTTTTCTCTCTCTCCCTCTCCCTTCCTGTCTCTCTAAAAATCTATTTTAAAATCTTCAAAATAAAAGGCAACAACTGAGGCTTCTGAAGTGAAGCCAGGATGGAACCCAGGGGCTCAGCCCCCCGTCCTGCATCGGCATTAACCAGTGCTATGACCTCAGGCAAATCTCTGGGCCTCGATTTCCTCGCCTGTAAAATGAGCAAAGAGGCCAAGATCACTTGTCAGGATCCTTTTCTCTCTTGCACCCTGATTCTGTGAAATGTCGTTTCAATACCTTCAAGTTCTCTGAGTACCTGCAAGGTGTCCCCAGTTAGAGGACCTCAGGACACGCCTTAAGGAACAGGTGAGAGGGTGCTGCTGCTTGGCCTCTACGAGGCTTCAGGGTGTCCCCGTCATCATTTGTTACATGAGGAATGTGCTCAGGATGCACTTTACAAAGAAGATGCAAAGGGAAACATCACCCCAGGCTGCTCTTTACTCAGACACGTGGGTAGTCCAGCGTTAGCGGCTGGCCCCAAGTACAGCACAATAAAACTTTCTGTTTCCACCCTGGCGCTCTCCTTTCTTCCTTGAGCCACAGGCAAACTGTGTGTCTGCAGTCCTAGATCTTGCCTCCAAAGAGATAGTTCAGCACCTGCGAGGAGCCAGGCCCACCCCTTGGCTTCTTACAGTCTGGTTCCCTTCTCCCCACAAGCGCGGCAGACCCTATCCCCATCCGTCAAGGACATGGAAGGGCTGGCTCCCACTGCTCGCTGCAACCTGCGGGCTGCTGGCTGCAAGCCCACATCCTGCACTCCAATTTTCTTCCCCGTTCCTGGCCCACATAGATTTTCCTAATGTTTTTCTATGTGGCTTTGTTTTAACCCATCATTCTTACGGGCCGGGGGTGGAGGGGGCGGACTCTCTGTATACTCACTCTGCTCTCTTGTTCAGAGGTCGTAGCTGTATTCCCTGACTTTCTGGCTCTGGTCCTGGCTGTCCCATGTGGACTGTCCCAAGGCGGCTATGGGAGCCAACGGACCGCTGCTTTATTGGCACTAATGAGAGCAGGTCTTGGTCCCTGCAGCTCTACTCACACCATCCCTACCCCCGGGAGCACCTGCCCCACACTCCCTTCCATCCTCCCTCCTGCCTTTGCCCTCCTGCAGATTCAGAGAAGGGCATGGGACGCTCAGTGTAAACTGGTGACACAGTCTGGGCCGGGACTATGACAAACGGGGCAATAAGCATCCCATCCAAAAAGGGCAGCTGCCGCCCAGCTCCAGGCGATGTTGCCAGGCAGGACCACAGGCTCAGGGTTGCCAGACCCTCATTTTTTTAAAGAGAAGCCAGAAATTAGATTTGTATGTGAAACCTCCAGATTTTTAAGCACTGGCGACCTGAGCAGGGTCTTTATGACCGCTCTGCAGGGCACAAAACAGCAACCTCTAACCGGGAGGATGAAACGTCCGCCCTCCCACTGGGGCATCTCATTCTCCACCAGCTGTCAGCCCCCGCCTACCTCGCTAGACTGAGGGGTCTTTGAAAAGAAAGCTCACTTTTCTCTTCACCCCCCCACCCTGACCAAATCTGGGCAGATCCAGAGGCTCAAATAGTTTGTTGACTAGAGACTGATATGTTGATTGAGGGGTGTGAATTCATGAGTCTCTCTGTGTTTCCAAAAACCATCTGGCACCCAGACACACTCTCTTCAGCTGCCAGCACACGTTGGCAAAACAGAACGTGGGGCCCTCAAAGCCCCATCCCTCTAAATTCCACAGGGCTACAGGCCACTCGGAGATCAAGGGTCAAAATGCACATTGAAACAACGAGGCTAACGGTTAACAGCTGTTAAATTAGTCCAAGTGTGTTTATTTTAATAATGCTAATGAGGATACAATAACCCTGAGCCATTCAGCTGTTTCTGGTAGAAGGGACCCTGGAGTGGGGTCGGGTGCTCCAAACTTCAAATCCTACATCTACCCCTTCTTAGTTCTCTAGCTTCAGGCAAGTGACTCAACTCTTTGGGCGTGTGGTCCTTGACTGGAAAAAAAATGGAGATAACACGTACTTTTTAAAGAGCAAGTGTGAGAATTACGTAAGATGGGTCAAACTGCCCAGCCCATATTCATGAACTAATATGTGTGCACTAAGGTGAGATACTGGTAGCCGTATAAATTAGTACCACCATTTTTTAAAGCGATATATGTCGCCTGGCCATCATGGCTCAGTGGTTGAGCATCGACCTATGAACCAGGAGGCAACGGTTCAATTCCCAGTCAGGGCACATGCCTGAGTTATGGGCTCGATCTCCAGTGTGGGGTGTGCAGGAAGCAGTCGGTCAATGATTCTCTCTCATCACTGGTGTTTCTGTCTCTCTCTCCCTCTCCCTTCTTCTCTGAAATCCATAAAAATATTTTTTTAAAAAATTAAAATAAAGCAATATATGCCAAAGCCCTTTCTTAGACCACTCCTGTCTATTTATCCTAAAGGAAACTGGGGAAGGAAATAAAGCGCGCTAAGCACTGTTTCAATGTAGTATTATTTATATAGGGATCTAGACACAAATAGTCCAGCAATATGGAGACACTCAACAGAGTTCTACAGCCAATAAACATAATTATAAACAACATAACCCATGTAACAACCTCCAGCAAAGGAAGCAGAATACAAATGCTTTCTACATCCCAATGACAAGGGTGTAAAAATGTGTACTGTAGACATATGGGCAGAGATTTGAAGAAGACAGAAAAACTAAAACAGCTGTTGGGCTAGGATGCTGAGATTTAGAGCGATTTTTTTTAAAATGCCTTCTACTGACATGATATTATTGTTTTTATGGCAAATAATACTGTGGGAGGGGAGTGTCAGGGGGATAGAGGAGATGACAACACAGCTGGCCAACAACAAAACAACCCCCGGCCAAGGCACCTAAGCAAGGAGGGGGTGGGTATGTCAACGACGAGAAGCATGTAATTTAAAGGGGCAGGATGAGCCGTTTGGGTCCTGCCCGAGCTTCCATCCTGGCCAACCTGTGGAAAGTGTTTAGCAGTGCCTGGCACAAAGTGGGCACTCAGCCCATGACGGCAGCTGTTTTGTTGTTGTTTCAAACAGTGGATTGCAAATCGGTGCATTTGAACTTTGGTTCTGACTCTACTATGGACTCACTGTGTAGATTTGGGCAAGTGACTAAATCTCCAAATCTCAACATACTCATCTGTAAAATGGGATTAACAGCTGTCACCAGGAAACCTGGTTTCTTTTATTTTTTATTTCAGAGAGGAAGGGAGAAGGAAAGATAGAAACGTCAATGATGAGAAAGAATCATTGATCGGCTGCCTCCTGCCACCCCTCCCTGGGGATTGGACCTGCAACCCGTGCACGTGCCCTGACTGGGAAGCAAACCGTGACCTCCTGGTTCATATCAAAAGCGGATGCTCAACCACTGAGCCATGCCAGCCGGGCGGAAACCTGGTTTGTTAACCCACCCTGTGATCACAGGCAAGTGCCTGCCCCTCTCTGGGTTTCAGTTCCCCATCTGTACACTAGGGGGGATTCTCTCGACCCCTAGCTCTGATTTTGTTTATTCTAAGTACCTAACCAGAACTGGCTTTGAAGAGTTCAAAACGCCATAAAATGACAGTTGTCACTGACTGGGTGCTTCCTGCGAGGTGGGCACTGTATTTCCCATGCATTTGTATGCAATTACCTGCATTGAACTCAAACACTGGAGGCCCATGTTCAGGCTTCACAAGTC